AAGCTTATGCTCTATAAAATTTGTTAGTCTCTAAGGTGTCACAAGTATTCCTGTTCTTCTTTTTGCGGATACAGACTAACACGGCTGCTACTCTGAAACTTAACTTTTCTGTTCCTCAATGTAACCATATGTAAAGCTGTTATAATATATTAATATTTATCTACCTCACAAGTGTATTACGAGCCTTGCAGAGCCATTTGAGGTTGTTAAATCAAAGGTGCCAGCACTTTGTAAGCCCAAAGCAGCAGTAAAAGATTAGAGAATTGTGTTACTCATTAAAAGTAGGGCTGGGAAATTTTTATTAAAAAATGCTTGCCTGAACATGACATTGATTTCATTTATTGTGTTCAGATACAAAGCACTGATCACTGGCAACCTGGATAATGGGTCAAACAGATCTCTGAGAAAAATTGATTGCCTTCATTTGAGTTACCCCAGGGCTGAATTTGGTTTCAGGCTCAATATTAAGTTTAAAGACAACAATCAGCTTTGTTTAACATATGACCTATGGGGAGTGAGAAGTCCTTATATACCATACACATATATGTGTGAAAACAGAAACGCTGGCCAAAATGTGGATAGTATTGGATATATTAACTAAAAAGTATAAAGTCACAGTGGCCCAATGATCAGTTATTCTCTCTGCTTATTTATTCTTTACTTCCGGTAACTTTCAGAACCTTCGCACAGACGTAGTAATGGATGTTGGCACCAGCCTGAACCCAGCCATAGATATAGGACAGGTAAGTGTTACTGTCACCGATTCAACCTCGTTTTGTTTGGTCAGGAAATTATGCTGCTATGGGCCATTTCTAGACAACCTCTCCTGTTCTTCTCTCTACGGGCCATATCTTTGCAAACATAGCACTGCAGGTTTAAACAGAGAAGCATATTGTGCTGGCTGATGAGAAATAACCGACTGCCAAAATTGGAGAAGGAATAGACCCAGGGTTGTGGGCAGAAGGGGGGAATATCCTCTTGTTTGGTATTGTTTATTAAGACTCCTATGTGGCCTTCAGTTATCACCACACTGATGTTTTTTTCTACACCTCAACCCAAGTGAGGAATGAACTCAGAGAAAGCGAACATACTGGGTTTGGGGGGAAGAGAAGATTTGCAATGCTTTAAGATTGGATCCTCATCTGGCATGTTTTGTGTCTGCAATGTAGGATGGCTAATTTAAGCCCCAATCTTGCAGTTTTTACCCCAGTGTGTAATCCAGTCAAAGTCAATGGGAGTGTTTTGTGTGGGTAAAGAGTACTTACATCAGTAAGGGTTGCAGGATCAGTGCCCAAGGTGCTCAGATACCCAAGTGGTGCTGGGAGCTGTATTAAAACCTAGATTAATAGTTTAGCTTGTGAGCTCCCTGAGCAGGGACTGTGTTTTCCTCCGTCTTCTGTACAGTAACAAGCGACAGTAACACTTTTCAGTAACTAGCAGTAATGAGTAAGGCTACGATTTTATCACGGAGGTCATGGAAGTCATGGAATCCGTGACTTCTGAAGACATCCATGACATCAGCCCACAGGTGGCTGGGAGCTGCAGAGTCCCATCACTGCCCGGGGTGGCCAGGAGCTGCAGGGTATCGCCACCACCCAAGGCAGTGGGGGCCCCAAGCTCTGAGGTGGCGTGGGTATCCTGCAGCTCCCAGCTGCCAGTGCCGGCAGGGGACCCCCAGAGCTCCCAGGTGGTGGGAGACCCTGGAGCTCCTGGCCTCCACAGGTAGCAGGGGGCACCATGCAGCTCCTGGCTGTCGCGGGAGGCAGGGGCCCCCGTAGCTCCTTGCTGCCATGGGCGCTGGAAGTTCCAAGCAGCTGTGGGTGAGGGGGACCCCGCAGCTCCCAGCCTCTGGTGGTGGGGGTACCTCTCAGCTCAGAACCGGGGGCGAGGGGGGAACCCTGGAGCACCAAGCCCCCATGGGTGGTGAGGGCTCCCAGACCTCTCAGCCAGGCCCCCGCAGCTGCCTAGCGGCTCCTCATTTTGTGATGAATATTTTTAGTAAAAGTCAAGGATAGGTCACGGGCTTCCATGAATTATTCTTTATTGCCCATGACCTGTCCGTGACTTTTACTAAAAATATCTGTGACAAAATCTTAGCTTTAGTAATGAGTTGGGGATTTTTCCTTATTCTGGAGGCTGAATGACTGGAAGTTTGCACACACTGCCCTACTGAATGCAATGGTATTCTCCCACGGAGAGTGGACTGGGATAGAGTGAAACTCCATTTATAATGAAGTTGGATGAAAGTCTCAAGTGATCCCCGTGCATCACCAGGTACAGGTTGTTATCCTGGTTAGAATGAAATTTCTACTTAGAGTGACGTCTGTCTGTGGAACAAAAATCCCGATGGGGAAAATCCTACTTACTGTCTCCACAGTCATGCTGGGCCTTGAATGCATAAGAAGGGGGCAGGATAACTGAAGCCTGCTCCAAGGAGCCTCCTTCTGTATTGCCACACAAGGAAGATTTGAGGGTAGAGCAGGCTAGGGGACAGGTGATAGACGGCCAGGGGACATGGTTGATAGATCCATAAATATATGGAGCCTGTGGGAAGAAGGAAGCACAAGACATGCAGGGATTATTACACCCCTGCATCAAATCTCCATGTACTGGTGTTCAGGGTTGGCACAGAGAGTGGGACTTGCCCCTAAAAGACAGTTCTAGTGTTTCAACAAGCAGCTCTTTTTTTCTCCCTTCTTCTAACCTTTTCTTTGGAGTGAGTTGTTGTGAATTTATGATTACCCATTTGCATTCAGAGCCTGTTCTTCTAGAGTATTTGCTATCTCCTCTCTCTAGTCTGTCTGGGCAAATTTTTCCACAAGCACCTAAGGGATTTAGAAGCCTAATTCCCATTGACTTTCAATGAGACTTAAATGCTTGTGAAAAATTTGCCCTCTATTGACCCAATCTACTTTAGTTTATTCTATAGCTCCCATCATTATAGTGTCTAAGCAATGGCTGAGGGAATTTCACCCCTACCTGATTGCTACGGTGTGCAAACCGCCACAGAGATACCCAGAGACATGGGCAAATATGTACAAGTATCTCTGCTTGTGCTGATGATGCAGGAATATGCAGTGTGTAGCAAGTGGGAGGTTTTATTTTGAAATACATAAAATAAGTAAAATCATTTGTTTTCAAAGAAATCTTGTGTCACCTTCAGCTTCTAGGATGTCTTTGCACTAAATCTTTGAATTACCATTGGATTCACGAAAGGGTTAAATTTGGATGTAGGCCTGCAATAACAACTTCTATGAAGAAACCACTAGCTTGCCGTTTATGGGTGTTGATTTTTATTTACTGCATAAGAAACATGGTATCTTACATTTACTGCATATAGTATTTTTTATCCCAAAAGATTCCAAATCACTTTACATGTATCAATTTGTGATATAATGGAATTGCTCCACCCACCACTGAAATGCAGCCACTTCTTGGGTGGGCACAGCCACAGTACCCAGCAAGTATAGGGCAGGGACAGAAGGAGAATACCATATCCAATTAAAAATGCAAGTGGAATGTTAGGACACAGAATGTAATTATCCATGTGCGGATTTGGCCAGGACAGTCCCATTTGGACTGATCATTGCCTTTTTGTGTGAAGGAGCCCAAAGAAGAACGTGACTTAGTCTTTCTTTCTTTTGTAGGTAGAGGGAGCATTTATCCAAGGCCTTGGGCTTTTTACCATGGAGGAGTTACGCTATTCCCCTGAAGGAGACTTGTATACCCGAGGGCCTGGAGCGTACAAGATCCCAGCGTTTGGAGACATCCCAACTGAGTTCTGTGTCTCTCTTCTCCGGGATTGTCCCAACAGCAAAGCGATTTATTCATCTAAGGTATCCTCCTGGCATCCACATGCCCTCTACTAATCCTTATTTCCGTGGAAGCTGTACTTGATAACAGTGTTGTGCAAAGAGACCACATTTACAGTAATGAGGAGGTTAATGATGTATCTGGCTTTGAAGAGATCAGAGCATTTTGATTAGCTGTTCATCTTATAATCGGTTTGTTTGCATTCCTTCTACCAGTAATTGTTAATATGAATGATAATACCCCTATTAAAAGATTTAATGATGAAACAGCTAATACATTATCACCGCTGCCCTGTACCAGAGAGAATCTGAACTGCTCACCTGTGTCCTAGACCCTATACTGCTAACACTAATAAAGATTCGTCTTTAGCTCAAGTAGCCTGGGCTTTCGGCGCAGGTGTTCTGAGTTCTATTCGTCCTGTTGTTCTGAAAGCTCTGAGCAATTGTGGTACGCAGCACAGAAACCACTGTCAAGCTACAGATTTACAAAAGTGTTACTCCCACAGATTTGTTATAATTCCATTATCTTTTTCCCCCATTGGTTGCAGAGTGCTGTTTTTCCTTCGGGGTTGCCAGGTCCCTCGCCATAAGGGGTTAATAATGTATTGTAAATGTTCTTCAGCTGTTGCCATTGCAGATCGTCTCTGTTCTCTTTAGCTGGTCATATTGTTAGGACTGAACAGTATCTAGCACAGGATCAAAGAGTGTCCAGTTTACTGTCAGTTCAAGGGGCACACAAAGAGACCCCAGAACATCATTATCTAAATATTTGTTTATACCTTGTCTGTCTCCCCACTCATCGCCTTCTCCCTGGCCCCATGGAAACGTGCTTGCAAATCAGTAAGGCTATTTTTTGTCTATTATTGTTAATCATGATCATGTACTCATGCTGTTAGCGGGAAAGGAGGTCGAGACCCTACAAAAGAAGGAAGTCAAGAGTAAGCTGAACAGCTAATGACCTCTGCTAGCTCCTCCTCTTCCTCCAATAGAGCCACAATCCAGACTATGATGAGTCTGTTTGGAGTCAGTCTGATTCTCTCATGTGTTCTGTCTGTCCAGGCTGTGGGTGAGCCTCCCCTGTTCCTGTCTGCCTCTGTGTTTTATGCCATTAAAGATGCCATCTTCGCTGCAAGGGCAGAATCTGGCCTGACAGAGCCATTCAGACTAGACAGCCCTGCCACCCCGGAGAGGATCCGCAATGCCTGCGTCGACATGTTCACCAAATTGGTACAGTATTTAGGCTCCCTTGGCTTCATAATGTTCCATGTCCGATTCAACAACACTATCCCATCCCAGGTTGTAGATGAGTCATTGTGGGGCAGATCATGTGATCAGATTCGGACATTTAATAGAGATAGTGGCTTTCTATTGTGTCCAACGGTTTGATGCTATTAAAAGAGAGATGCAAATCCAAACATCAGCCACTTATGGAGAGCTTCCATTACAAGAAGGGCCTCCATACAATGTGGTATTGTGACTTCAGTATGTTAAATGGACATTATCCACCTAATTCAGGATACCCCTCACCCACAAAATAAAATTTCATGGCAGGGAACAGACATTGCAAAAGTTAGTATGGATGGAAACCTTGTCAATGAATGCAGGTTTTACCTCCTTAATTTATACATTTTTCTGCTGTGCTGTAAACCCAACCCCTACATCAGTGTTAGTGCAAGCAGAGCTCAGTATTGACCCTGGCTTTAAGCAGGAAGTGAAACTGACCAGGCTATACTGAGAGCCAAGGTGGGTGAGGTAATACCTTTTATTGGTCCAGTTTCTGTTGGTGAGAGAGACAAGCTTTTGAGATACACACACAGCTCTTCTTCAGCCTTATGTGGCTCAAAAGCTTGTTTCTCTCACCAGCAGAAGTTGGTCTAATAAAAGATATTACCTCATTTACCTTGCTCTCCAATCTCCTGGGACCAACCCAGCTACAACTACACTGCACACCGTCCATACTGAGTGAAGTGTGAAAAATATATAGCATAAACAATGACAAATAAATGAGATTTTTAGAAATCTTTGAATTAAAAACTAAAAGTAATGATAACAACATTGGTACAATTTTAAAGAGTGTGTGTGTGTGTGTATAATGTGTGTGTATATATACAATCTTTCATACCAGGGTTTGGATTTCCTATTAAGTAACAGCTCAGTATTGAGCACAAGATACAGTGGGTATTGAAGAATCTTGTATGCAGTGTAGTTGTAGCTGTGTGAGTCCCAGGATATTAGAGAGCCAACGTGGGTCAGGTAATATCTTTTATTGGACCGACTTCTCTTAGTGAGTAACTGCTCTAATCATGGACTGAACAGAGACACTGGATTTATGGCTTATTACAACGATCAGTAACCCATTAACCCCTTTTTGTCCTATGACTGCAGAGATGTTAACAGGCCACTCTAGTTTGAATGGTCCCTTTTTACAGTGTGTGCTAACTACTTATGCTGAACTATCTTTTCCATCTTTCATTTTGCTGTGACACTGGGATTACCTTTCCCAGACCTGAAGAAGAGCTCTTGTTATTAGACCATATTGCATGTGCCGAACCTGGAGAGTGGGGGAAAGGCTCCCATAAACTCTTCCTTCTATTTATCTGCATTATATAGTTGAGAGGAAATTCTTACTGTGTACTGAAGAATCCTAAAGCAGCCACTTGCATTTCCTTCTCAAAAGAATACACTGCTTTTATTAAACAGAGAGAGTTTTCTCAGAGTAACAGAGCTTAGAACAGCATTCTAACAAATTTAGAAGCCAGCTCTCTGCACAGCTGTCTCTCCAATCTAATTAATAAAACAGGGCTCAGGCTAGAACAAATTGCAACACTGTCTCAACTTTAGCTTGCTCCCAGGCTCTACTAACCAATGCGAATAGGGCAACTCCCAGGGACTCCAGTTTACTGTAATGCAAAGGCACAGATTAAATGATTCATTGGCATCTCCATGGTGCTCCTCACCCTTATTTCTGAGGGCCTCCCAAACTTTAATGCATCTAGCAAGTCTATCGTTAACATTGTTGGTCTCCATACTGGACTGGAGGAGTACCACTAAGGCCTGCCTTTGTGCTTTCTGTTTTGAAACCCATCACTGAATATTATGACCTCTCCAGTCTTCCGATCATCTGTGGGCCTATCCTGAAGTCTTCCTACAGGCCCTGATCCTGCATCTGTCTCGGCTTGCATTGACCCTGCTCCTTGAAAGTGTGTGCAGGTGGACTCCTGCATCCCAGTGGAGCCCCGTTGACTGTAATGGGGCTCTGTGCAGGCATCTGTCCATGTGCAGACATTTGCAAGACTGGGGCATCGGTCATTACTCAAATATAAACCCCATTGTAGTTAAGGGCAAAGACTATGGGCCAAAGCCTTCTTGCCTTGCTCATGCCTTACTACTTGTCTTGTGAATGAGATGAGCAGCATCTAGCTCTGTGTAAGGATACTAGGATTATGCCCAGCATATTTGTCATCCGGCCTCTGAACCAGAACTGTTGCAGTTCTCTCATTGCTAGTTACATGTGGTACAGATCCTGTATTCTGTCTGATGGGGATTCTAAGCTTAGATATTTAATAGTACGAAGCCCACCTACCACAAATGGTAACAATCTGGTCAGTCTGCCTGCATTAAGAATTCAGTGTATGCCTCCAATTTGTTGCTGCCATCAGTTAATTTAACTTTTTGTGTTCATTTTTTACAGTGTCCACCTGCCAAATCAGGGACCTTTAAGCCATGGTCTGTGAGGGTATAAAAGGGAAGTTTAAGGAACAAGGTCTGTTCATGAAGCTGGTTTTACCCCATGGGACCAAAAAGAAAAACTCTGTAGCAGAAAACAAATCTGTATTCATGTGTCTCATCCATTGATTCATGAAGCTCTATAATCCAATTGTTGAATCATCAATTCCATGAGGAAAGGGTATTCATTGCAGGTTATTGCTGGGATGAAAATGTAAATGAAGAGTAAATTGATGGCTTTGCTGTCTGTGTAATTGAAAATCTTACAAGGTTCATTTAAGTTTGCTGCAAGAATCAGAGAAATGATTACAACAAGCTTGTTTGTAAAAGCATTTATTTTTGTTAAGTATGATTATAAAACTCTGAGATGTGTTAAACTGGGGAGGACTTGGATGTGCTAAATCCAGTCAAAATGGCCTTTTTTCCTTTTTGCACGTTGAAGTCACTAACCAGATCTGGTGTAAGCAGATATTACTTTGTTGACTTAAATGGAGTGTTGCCCACTTATATCTGGTTGGAATTTGGCCTCTGTTTTATGACATTTAAATGGCTGCACTGATTGATTCGTAGATTCCAAAGCCAGAAAAGACCATTGTGATCCTCTAATCTGACTTCCTGTATAACACAGGCCATAGAACTTTCGCAAAATGATTTCACCCAAAGTTCCAGGGCAGGGGTGACACAGCCACACATTAGTTTGGACTGTACCCTGGTATGTCTCAGGCTGTCATATAGACTGTCTGGAAAAAAAGGAAATTTACTAGGGCTGTTGATTAATTGCAGTTAACTCGTGATTAACTCAAAAAAAATTAATCACAATTAAAAAAATTCATCATGATTAATCACACTGTTAAACAACAGTATATCAATTGAAATGTATTAAATATTTTTGGATGTTTTTCTACATTTTCAAATATATTGATTTCTATTACAACATAGAATACAAAGTGTGCAGTGCTCACTTTATATTATCATTTTTTATTACAAATATTTGCACTGATACCCTGGGACTGACCCAGCCACAACAACGCTGCATATATTCTTTTAATTAGCACTGTTGTTGTCGGTACCTTTGTCACATGAACGTGTATGAAATTCTGCATTAACTGAACATTATCACAAAATAAACATTTATAAATGTTATTCTAGAAGTTAGTGCATTAATAATGGACATTTTCACAAATTTGTAATGATATTTTAGTAATACCAAGCTCATATATAGCACTTTTCAACAATAGATCTCAAAGCACTCTACAAAGGAGTCAGTATGATTATCCCCATTTCACAGACGAGAAACTGAAGCACAATCATCCAGCAGGTCAGAGGCAGAGCTAGGAATAGCAATCAGGTCTCCTAAGTACCAGGCCTGTGCCCTATCCATTGGGCCACACTGCCTCACTGTTTTGTGCTTCAATAGCACTGTCCATTTCAAATGCTCAGTGGTTGACACATTTATTAATTAAACTACACAATATCCCATTGACCTCAGAAGCAGTTGAGGACACTCAGTACCTCACAAGCAGAAAAAGTTCCCCACGCTGCACTGCTGTAGTTTAGCAGATGATCATGTTTTCATATGGGCAGCCACACACTTGTTACAAGTTCTTCTTCTTAGAGCCAACAATGAGCATAAATATCCAGGTAGCTCTAGCACCATATGGTAACCTGCACTCCAGGACTCTTGAAGAGAGGTCACACTCTTTTAAAGCCTCTCCCTAAGAGCCGTTGCTTTTCATGTTCAATCAAGAAGTGCACATTATGCAGAGAGAGGTTTATAGTAACCACTTAGCTGTGTTGTTATGGAAAGCATTTATTAAGGTAAGCGCTGATGCTTTATTCATCTCAACATGTCATGTCAAGTTGGCTGAGACAAGACAGAATATACAGTAATATATCAATAACTGTAGTTCATCTGCACAACATATCTGTAACTTAGCAAAGTGAAATGGTGAGTGCTTACAGATCCTACTCGCTGAGATTTTGCCCATTAAGCCCAGAACCATGAAAGGACGCACAATGCTTCCCAGAGTTCCTAGGGAGAGCAGCCACTGTGCCACCATAAGGAGCATGTCTCTCTGGGCCAGCCAGCTCTGTTGGCCAATGCAGCAGCAGGGATTTGAGCCCATGAAAATGGAAACTGGTAATGGTAGAACAGATAGAGCAAAGCTATGGTTAGTGCAAGGCCTTCTTCAGGACATGCCGGGAATGGAAACACGGTCAGCATTTTCCCCACAGAGGGCCTCACAGTTCAAATGTTGCCTCTATTTTTTCTCTTGTAGAACAAGTTGTTTTGCTTATTTTGCAGGCTCCCTTCTTGTTGGGGCATGTGTGTATGGTGGGGATATGATTACAGGCTGTAAAGGGAGACGCTTCCAACCCCAAAGGTGGGTAGAATCTGGGGATATTCAGGGCTCCACTGGGGCACAGAAGATTGCTGAAGGAATGATGTTGATGGAGATGCGACTGCCTGTGCTTTGTTGTGGTCTCTAAGCAAACCTGCTCTGTGAAATACTGTTTTTTCTCAAAGTTGTCTTGTCCTTAATGGGCTTTCTCATGGCAAAAGTCCTCGAGAATCATAGGAAGTGCTACATCAAAATACACCTATCTGTCCTATGCATTTCTAGAGCCCCCGTCACTGCAGTATTTAAACACAGGGCAATGATCAGTCTAGTTCGGTAACCTGTCTCTGACAGTGGTCTGTACTAGACTCATCTTTGGAAGGTGCGGCCCTGCGTGGTGCGCTTGGACAACTGTACAGCACTGTACCATGGAGGGAGGGTTTTTCCTGACTCCAGCTGGTGATTAGCTTGAATTGTGAAGCATTTGCTTTTAGAATAACAGAATCATAGAAATGTAGAGCTGGAAGGGACCTCGAGAGGTCATTAAGTCCAGCCCCCTGCGCTAAGGCAGGACCAAGTAAACCTAGATCATCCCTCACAGGTGTTTGTCCAGCCTGTTTTTAAAAACCTCCAATGAGGGGGGTTCCACACCCTCCTTTGGAAGCCTATTCCAGACATTAACTACCTTTATTGTTAGAACGTTTTTCCTAATATTTAACCTAAATCTCCTTCCCTGCAGACTAAGCCCATCACTTCTTGACCTACCTTCAGTGGACAGGGAGAACAATTGATCACCACCTTCTTTATAACAGTCCTTAATATATTTGAGGACTGTCATTGGATGGCTACTCTCTGTAATTGTTCTCCTAATTACTTGCTCCCTTCAGTACTGGGGAGGTCCCAAAGCAAACTGCTAGAAAACCGGAAGGCAGCAAAGTCCCAGCGATAGAAGTGGGCCAGCTGCTTCCTTTCTTTGAGTGACAGCTCGCTGAGTAACTGCTCTGATAGCCAGCTATAAGTGCTCCGGATCTGCGAGTCTGTGAACTCGGGCAGGTGGACATCCATTGGCAGCCCCATGCGACGCATTAGGTGATGCACCTCCCTGTTGAGGAAGCCAAACATCATCACGTAGTCATACTGGATGAGGCATGGCCGGCACAGGCTGACCAGTGGCTTCCACTCCATGCTGGCATTCTGGGGTCCCCTGTTTAAAATGCTCTGGATGAACTCTTTGAAAGTTAGGCCATCCGCCATTCTCTGCATGTAAGCCGAGATGAGTCTCTGGAAAGGGTCCCTGATGAACAGCACTTTGGTGTAGGATCTCAGCATAGTCTCCATTGCTGTCAGGTTGTACTCACTGAGTCGCTTCTGTAGACCACGCTGCTGGGGCTGGCGAACTGGCACCTCCAGTGTCACATCTGCTTTCTCCTCTAGCACCTCCAAAAGCCATTCCCAGATTTCCAGCCCAATTGCTGGTACTTGGCAATACAGGAAATCCAGCTTGGTGCTCACTGCGATCCTTGAAAGCACCTCAGCTGCTTGTTGCTGGCTGGCTGGAAGCTTGGTGACTTTAGCAGTTTTGCTGCAGAAGGACCTCAGTGTCTTTTTCCTGAGCTGTTGAACATGGAGGAGGGTGTCAAATGTCAAAGGTAAATCATCCTTCATGTCTGCTTCCAGATCACCTGCAAAACAGCATTTGTATACTGGGCATTATTCCCACAAGTCAGCTACATAAGGAAACCTAGGGCAACATTCTCCACTCATACCAGTGCTGCAGGATTCTACACTATGGTGTGGGACAGGCAATGTAAGCAACACAGTGTCTCCACAGACACTGAATCGACCTAACTACATTGACTTAAGCGTTATAAAGTCGGCATAGTGGGTGACTTACATTGGCGGAAGAGACATTTTAATGTAGATGCTTACAGAGCTGGGTAGACGTAAGCTTGAAGAAGAAAACTCTCTATACCTCATTAGACATCTTTATCTTAACTGCAAAGCATCATGGGAATCCTGCTCTGAGGCAAGCTTTAAAATCTTTCTTAGCCTATCTTAAGTGTCAACATGAGTAACAATCCGGATTTGGCCTAAAGAAGTTTTGCCTGTGTGAGGATTCCAGGTTTTAGTTGAGATGGGTTTAATAACTAGCAAAAATAGTAAGATACAGTATAAAAACCATAGGAATGGTAAATTGATTTGTGAGTTAGAACATACTCACCCCCTGATAGCCTCTTTACAGTTGATGATTAATATCAGAACACATTATGGACTCAGGAGCTATCAAAGGTATGTTAAATCATGAGATATTAATTAAAGACTAGGGGTAACATTTCCGAAAGTGACTTAGGAGCTTGTCATTTAAAGAAAAAAAAGAACATAGGCTTCTAAATCCCCCCCCAAATGACTTAAGCTCCTAAGTCACTTAGGCACTTTTGAAAATATTACCGCAATCATTTTTTTTAAAAAAGCAAGTGCCCAGTCCTTTTTTGTGATGATGGCTTTTAATTTGGCAAGTTTTAATTTCACTCCTTACTTTTTCTAATTTGATTTCTAAAATGAAGGGGACTCCATCAGCTTAAAACTCACACTAATGTTGGAGTGCTAGGTACGTTTTCCTTACTATTGTTACAGGTAACTCATATGGAAAGCTTCTGATTTTCAGTTTTAACTGATAAGGATTGATAAAACACATCTAATTTTAAAAAAGGAAGAAATTGGTGTTTATCCAATAAACACTGGAAAAACACCAGAAATGGTTACTTTTATCTAAGGGTTTATCTACACAGAGCAATAATAAGAACCTCGGGGGTGTATTTCTACAGCACATGAATGCATTGTGTATTATTTGGCTCATGTAGACTCTGCTGTTGTGCAGTAAAGGTTTCCGACTGCGATTTGACATAGTGCTGTTTGAAACAGTAACAATACTATGTTAAAGCACGCTAGGGAACATTACAAAGAGATTACTCATTACGGTATATACTACACATAATGTCTACAATATACCTTACTCATTACAGTATATACAAAGAGAAAGCCTCAGTCCCCCCTGATTTTTGGACAGCTACATACAACTCGAAAATTGCTAAAAATAAAGCCTGAACAATGATCTTAATAACTCCCCCCGAAACCAGTAGCCCTACTCATATGTCTATTCTAGCTAAAAGAGATTAGAGAAAACGACTTAGTCTCTGTTTTATCAGTTGTTCCTATATGCATCTGGCAGCTCTTAGGGGATAGTCAGTTTCCCCTGGGTAGTTGGATAGTTTGCCCATTTCTACTGTTGTTTGGGCGGATCTTTCATTCAGCAACAGGGAAGTGAAAACACTTTAAAACTAGGAAAGGCCCATTGGAAAGACAGGGAGCAAGGGATTCAGGGACACAACTGGTGTCTGGAATTATTTGTAACTTCTTTTGACTGACTACATTTCAAACGGATGGTGTCTGCCGAATTTAGTGCTGGACTGAGAGCTCTGGAAGAAAGAATTCATCTCTTCATCCACTGATCAGGTATGAAGTACAGAAGAAGTGCAACCTTCCCCCCACCCTCCCGCACTGTCCCACCAATATTCCTCCATGTGACCAGAAGCTACAGAGCCTGATCCTCCACCCTTCTCCACTGTGTGCAGTCATCTACCCCAGTGCAAAGTGGGTTTTCAATGTGACCCCACAGGAATGCTAGTGTTTAATCCCCACACTGCTCTCACCATGTACTGGTATAAATGACTGTACAAGGAGGAGTGCAGCAAAGAATCAGGCTCCTGAGGTACAGGGCTGGAAGGGGGTAGTTCAGTCTCTGTGGCCTAGTCAGTCCTTGGCATCTCTGCTGATGACAAGGGGGCCCATAGTGCCAGTTGTGGGGGTGTCTTTCATGATGTGGACATTGGTCCACTGAGAACTGGACAGGAAACCACCAGTTCATTTCACAAGAGCCATAAAAGAGCTGCCAGCTGGTAACGAATTTCAGTCACCACCAAACTGGGCAGACTGGGGTGTTTAAAGGACAATAGAAAATAATGTTCAAAGCTTTTCTGACCTGTCCTGCATCACCATGAACAGGCAAATATTACCTCTTCGCTGGGAAGGGTGACTCCTGAGAAAATGCCCCCACCACAAGAGGGAAAGGCAGCAGAGCAGAGCCAAGATGAGCAGGCGGAGGAGGAACCGCATCTTGGGCAACTCTGAGCTGCCCCACCAGGAGCTGACAACGACAGCAAAGAGCAGGCATGGGCCCGACATAAAGGCACGAGAACATTTCTCTGTGTGTTTACTCAGGAGCAGGGTTAAAGTACTATTTGTCCAACAGCGCAGCTCACGGATAGCCGTCCCCAGTGTCAGAGAAACCTCTGGGGAAAAACAATTCCTACAGGAAGGTTACACAGTGGAGTCTCCTACCCATGTCTATCTTTAGCCGTTTGCTGTCTCTTGTCTTCTACATGGACTGTAAACTCTTTGCCCCCTGGCTTGTCTTTTTGCTCTGTTTATACACTGCCTAACACAGTGGGGTCCTGGTCTCTGACTAGGGCTCCTAAGCAGTCTAGTAATACAAATAACAAATAGTAGTTCACAAGCAGATATAGTGCCCTCAAACCAAGGAAGTGACCTCGTAATTCCTAAGGGAAGTTGAGGGTCTGGCAGGGGGTAGCCATGTCTGGTCCCCCATACGGGATCATTCTGAGGCACTCTGCTCAATAGCTTTTGTTTTGTTTTGCACTTAGCGATGTTATCCTTATTTGTCCTATTGTGGCATCTAGAGTGGCGGTTCTCAACCAGGAGTCCCCAGGGTTCTCCTTACCCTCTGCAGATAGGACAAGAAGCAATGGGCTTAAATTGCAGCAAGGGAGGTTTAGGTCGGACATTAAGAAAAACTTCCTAACTGTCAGAGTGATTAGGCACTGGAATAAATTGCCTAGGGAGGTTGTGGAATCTCCGTCATTGGAGATTATTAAGAGCAGGTTAGACAAATACCTGCCAGAGATGGTCTAGATAATACTTAGTTCTGCTATAAGTGCAGGGGACTGGACTAGATGTCCTCTCAAGGTCCCTTCCAGTCCTATGATTCTATGATTAGCTCCGGCCCAATTTGATGGTGCCTGATGAATCTTGATGTTAACAAAGGCTGTAAAATCTGTATTTTTTAACCTTCTCTTTATGCAGAGATGTGCTCCTCGCCAGGGTCTTCCATCCATGGCATATAGCCCTGCAGCCATGTCGCCTCCTGGGAGAGGCCCAGCCATCCTGGCAAGTTTTCAGCTCAGGGAGGCACTCTTCCATGGGAAGGAATTGGTTGCAGCTTAGCCTCTGTACCCAATGAGTCCATGCTATTTAAAGGCAAGAAAAAGGAGCTACTTTCTAATAGCCAGGGAAGGGAGGGAGGGAGCTCGAGACTGATAGCAAAATGTCCTTTGTCGTGATTAGTGTGCATGCGTTGCGTGACTGTTATGGAATTAAGCAGCATGGTCGCAAATCTGTGGGAGGGATTTTTTGTGTGTGTACAAGTGTTTTGTTACACAAGAACCTCGTAGAAATATGAAACTGAAAGCCCAGAGGGCATTTTGCTTACCCTGGTCTCCTGTGAAGGAACGGTGAACATTCATGCTAGCTGCACAGAACATGCACCGAATCTTCCCTATCTTGGCTCTTATATGTTTCCTTGTAATTGCTACAGGCAGTTAAGCTCTAGATTTCCACTAGAGGGGGCTCCAGACATGAGAAATCATTGCAGATTCCAATGTGTGCCTGCTGGAAAACAGAGAATAGAATGAAAGGCTGTTCTTCTTTTAGAGAATAGAATGTGGTTATTTATACCACAGCCCCTTTCCTGCTGCAATATAAATAAATGTTTAGGTTAGATGCGTTCGTAGTAATGGCTGTGGGTGTAGGAGCCAGCTGGGTCTCAATGAGCTCATGGGGTTCAGATGGGAATCTCAGGCACTTGCTGAGAAATGTCATTGGCAACATTCTTTCGTGACAGTATCTTAGTGCTACAGAGGAAGCCAGGCAGTGAAAACCCCTCAATGTCAGGGCCTCATTTCCAAGGCAAGGACTGAGCATCCCTGCCCATGCAGTACTGCCCATCACCACTGTCATGCCCCCGGCACGTGCACTGACAAATTCAACAGAGGACAGCACTAAAGAGGTCAGAGTCACAGGTGAACTTTCAGCAGGGCATGCAGAGAAGTAGTGGGCTAATTTTTTACCCATTGCCCACAGAAACACAGTTTGACTAGCGCCTGGGTTTGGACTATCAAAGGGACTAGATTACCCAGGCGGCAGCAGCGTGGGCTCCTTTGCTCACTTTCTAGTGGAGGACAGGCACGGAACTTTGCATCCAGTTGCAAAACCATGGTAAGGAATCAAATCTTCAGAGTACAGCCCAGCCAGTACGGCGGTGCAAGAGAGAGATCCAGACCTGAAGGTAACAGAAACAAACTATTTTCTCCATGCTGCAGGAGAGGATGATGCCTGGAATCAAATGAAGGGGAAATAATAATATCAAGCACATTTCCTCCATAGAACTCAAAGCGCTTTACAAGGGAGGTCACTATAGTTATCCCCATTTTACAGATGGGGAAACAGAGGCACAGAGCAGTGAAGTGATGTGCCCAAAGTCACTCAGCAGGTCAGTGTCAGAGCTAGCAATGGAGCCAAGGTCTCCTGAGTCCCAGCCCAGTGTGCTATCCTGTAGGCTACATAACACCTCTTGTTAATCAGGAGCAAATGTTTAATAAATAGATGGGCCAGAAGAGAGTGAGGAGAAGTCCCTCTATTACGCATTTGTCACTGGAACCCGGATGGCACCTCCTCCTTTATTTCAAAAATGCTCTCATATTCTACAGGACTGATCCAAACTCTGCCACTCCTAGCAGGGTTACAACTGAGCTGCTGCTATGAAACAGGGTAATATATTTTTATCA